AGTGTTACATTCTATTACTATTAAAATATTATATAAGGAAAAAACATGCTAATAAATTAACATTTTAATTTCTTTATTTGGTTATGCACATTCAAATGTGATGTGCTTACTTTGGCCCTCGAAGTGAACTTTGAAATATTACTGCCATATGTCACTAAAGCATGTTAAAAGCAAAAAAGCAAAAACGCTTACCGAAACTTAGGCAGTTGATCCATAGTATCACAACAAGTTACTAGATGTGTCACGTGTGCTATGAAGAAACGAGCTAACATGTGATGCATATTGGCTTCATATAACATAACTTCTAGAAGTTTTTAACAGATCTTGTTCGTTTCTCAATTATTTAAAATTCAGTTCAATCAATTATTTATAATTCGGTTAAGTTTGAATTATTGTGAGAAACAAATTTATTAGTTTATTACGAAAATTATTGAATTTTTGAAAACTTGAATCAAAGTATCTGAAGACAATTTCTCTTTGTATTCTACTAAACCGGTAATAACGATTTCTACTAAAAGTACAGAAGTCAGATAACATGATGAACAATTTTTAACCAGAAATAATTTCCAGCATAAGTTCATAAATTATTTTGAAAAATTTACAATGATTCTACATATTTACAAGAATAATAACAGTTAAACTAAGCTAATTTAAATTTTCGCGTACCAAAAACTACTACAGCCACGAATCATAAATAAATTGACTGATATCGTGAGATAAGCTGACCACTTGTCCAGGCAAAATGCACAAGCACCCCGAAGACCATAGTCTAGAAAGCAGATAACAGGACACTGCAGTCCAAGGCTCTCTAAAGGCTGTTTGTGCCGCCGAGTTTAGTTTAGTTAGCCTGATATCGTTAAAGCGAAACGGATCTAAAAGGAACAGCATCTAAAAGGAATTTTTTACAGGCGGCTCATTTGATGAGCAATCACTAATGGAGATTCTGAGTACTTCTGACTACCCCAAGCGATACTACTTATGAACACAAAATTACTACTGCAAAATTACTTACGTATCAACAAACTATAGCGCTGGAGCCATAGTCTTTAAATTTACTTGCGAGCTTCCGGCAATAGTAGTGGAGGCACTTCACATAGATTCCCTTCCGAATTCTGAGCAAATAAAAAGAATTGTTGTCTTATATGACTCAAGAGCAGTTCTAGAAGCAATCCTGGATGGACGCTCTGTGATCACCAATGAGATCCACTTTCGCCTAATGAACTTCAAAATTTAGGTAAAGTCGGCATTTTTCAATGATTGCCAGCCATGTCGACATCACAGATAACGAGAACACAGATAAACTGGCATAACAGGCCGAAAATCTAAACAATAATAACAACGTAATGTCAATATCTTGGACGCGAAAGCCATGGCTAAATACAGATTGAAGGAACTTTCAATTCGAATAAAGCGCCAGCTCCATAACACCAATGGAAATCGACTTATAAGTAACCATAGCCAGACATGGAACTGGTCATAACAGAAGATTGACAATTGACGCAGAGGATAAGAAAATCTACAGGAACTATGATAACTGCCCGGACACACAACTGACAACTGCACAAAGTATTATTGTCCGGCCATCCTTGCTGAAGTGTAAAAGAAATTATTTAAGAGATTGAACCCCTGTGATGACTTTGCAGATTGCCAAGGCTGTCATCTTCGCCCACGGCACTAGTTGAACAGGCATACATACGACAACAGTTTCGTTTTTACTTATTAAATTATTCTATTAAATTTTATGATAATTCATCACACGCGAGGTGTCGTGAACATTGTGAGTTTAAGAGAAAATAATGAGCGGTTTGTTAAAATTTAGATCAGATGAAAGATCTTTTAATATATAGCATTTTAATACTATTTAGCACAGTGTAATAAGTTCATTTTACAGTACGCAACATCCTCAAAAATGATCGTTACAACGCAGTTCGATCATCCATCTTTAGAACAACAATCTCTCGCGTTGCCATTCCGTAACAGAGAAACTTACCTCTCATGGAGTTCGATAGTGGCGCGACATTCTCCCCACCTTGAGTTTGGGGATACAAACTCAAAACAGTAATATAATGATAATACATACATACAATTTTGAGATAACAATAACGTACATAATAATAATAGAAATATTTCAAAATATTAGAATGCAAATTGAAATCAATATTTTAGAGTTCAAACACAGAAAGTTCAAAAGTTTGTTTAGAAGTTTATAAATCCAGTCTTTTAACTGGTTTTATTTTTCGTCCTGAGCGAGACACGCGAACAGTTTCATTAGAGTCAGTATTAAGCTCAGGATTTTCAGCTACCACTTCCGGAACCTTCTGAGGTTCCGATACGACTTGCTCGTAATTTGGGGTCAATTCCAAAGGGTACAGTCGTTGGATTGGTCTTAATATGTTTCCCTTTTCAGTTCGCAGTTTCACAAGTCTGATGATTCCATCTTTTCCTGGAAAGAGTTCCAGTACTCTCCCTAGCAGCCAATGGAGCCTTTTTTTATCATCTGTACCAATTAACACTATGTCACCTACATTTATTTTATCTTCTCTTTTGTTAACTGAAGAACGAAGGAAACCCAGATACTCCCTTTTAAACCTTCGTTTTAGATTTTCACGAACGTTTTGAATATGTCTCCATCTCAAAACAATGTTAGTCTTTTCAATTTGATCCAAATCAGGAACATCATTTAATGGAATGTCCTGAAGAAACATTGAGGGGGTCAAGGTCTTCAGATCTTGTTCTTCGGATATGTAAGTTAACGGTCTGCTGTTCATGATAGATTCGCATTCACAGACGAGAGTCTGCAATTCCTCGTAAGACAAACAGGAGCGTCCAAGATTTTTTCTCAAAAGATCTTTCAAAATCCCAATCAAGCGTTCCCAGAAGCCTCCCCACCATGGAGAGGAGGGTGGGTTAAACTTCCAACGAATTTCGTTGACTCTAAATTCACTTTCAATTGTAGTCCAATCTAATTGTTTCAGAGCATTATTTAGTCCTGTAAAATTAGTACCATTGTCTGAATACATCACAGAAATTCGTCCTCTTCTGGCTATAAACCTACGCATAGCTTGGATGAAGTCATTGGTACTCAGTGAAGGTATTAGCTCAAGATGGACAGCTCTAAATACGGCGCAAGTAAAAAGTACTATCCACACCTTTTGTTTAGATTTAGTCAACAGAGGTCCAGCTATATCTACACCTGATACTTGAAAAACTGCTGCTACTTCTGTTCGGTCTTTTGGAAGAGGCGGAAAAGGTACCTCAAGATGTTTTACCTTTTGCCTTTTACATGTTAAGCATTCTTTGATAACACTCCGGACAGTTCTTTTCCCTTTCACTATCCAAAATCTTTCCCGTAAAACAGTAAGTAGAGTTAATGTCCCAGCATGCTTGTTAGCAATATGTTCTTGGGCTATAAATCTTCTCACTGCCAGGTGTTTCGATGGTAGAATTAGAATTATTGGAGAAATAAAATCTTTCGATTCTTCCTCATTTATCAATCTGGACTTCAACCGTAAAATTCCTTCTTCATCTTCAAATATTAGAAGACCTTTCAAATTTTTTCTTGTTTCTTCATTGGAGTAACAGTAACATTCCTTTTATATTACACAGAAAATAGTCCTTTGTGCATTTAACAATTCTTCATTTTGAAGTTCCTTACATTTTCTTAAGTCCTTGGTTTTTGGTTGAAAACGCAGTATCCAAGCCATAACCCTAATCATCTTTGAAAATTTAGAGAATCTTCTGGCTAACTGTAATGGAATTGACTCTAGCTCTGTGTTACTAGCAGATATGACTGACTTTCGTTTCTCTATCTCTACTTCTTTTTCGTTAATATTTACAGCTGACTTTGGCCACTGCTCCTTCGGATTCTTCAACCAGGCTGGCCCTTGCCACCACTTGCGTTTCTGAAGTTGCCTAGGTCCACAACCTCTTGACAAAAATGTCTGCTGGATTCTGGTCAGTTGAAATATGGAACCAATCTTCCGAAATTGTCAATTTTCTAATTTCACTTATTCTGTTTGTTGTAACGAATACCGACCACTGTTCTCGACGAGTTATCCACACAAGAAACTGTGGAAGAATCTGTCCAAAAGTAAGTCTTGATGTTGGGAAGTTTTAGAGCTTGCTTCACAGAACTAAACAGCCTAGCACCTATGGTAGCAGCCATTAGTTCAAGTCGTGGTATAGTAATAGTCTTCGTTGGAGTTATTCGTGATTTGGCTTGAAGTAATTGAACAGTCACTGAACCCATACTGGATTCACTTCTTAAGAAAATGCATGCCGCATAAGCTGTCTTGCTGGCATCGACAAAAGTATGGATACTTAAATTGGATTCCTTCATCACACCTAACCATCTTGGAATTTTTATATTTTTGAGGTATTTCAGTTGTTTTCCCCATTTTAAAAAATTCTTCTTTATTTCATCATTCACTTCATCATCCCATGATTCTTTGCTCTTCCAAGCGGCCTGCAGCAAAATCTTAGGCTGAATCATAACAGGTGCAAGGAAACCTATGGGATCAAATACTCGACTAACTAGTGAAAGCATTTTCCTTTTAGTTACTTTTTCTCTTTCATCAAATTTCAAAAATTCGGTGTCTATTTCTAAGGTATCTAAATCTTTGTCCCAAACCAGTCCTAATACCGGTGATGTTTTACTTTCTGAAAATGCAGGAATGCCAGAACTTTCCCATCCTCTGAGATCAAACATTCCTTCTTTCATTACATTAGTTGCAGATTCGATGAATATTTCTAGTTCGTCATTATTTTGTACACTAGTTACGCAATTATCGACATAAAACTATCTATCTGTAATTTTTTAAGAAATTCTTCAGAATATTTTTTCTTTCCACGTTTCTTTGGATAAATGATGGTCAATAACCGCCATCAGCAAAAATGGACTACAAGTAATGCCAAATACCACACACGGGTGTGACGAAATGTCTTCACTCTACCATCATCACCATACCAAAGAAATCGTAAAAAATCTCGATCTCTTTCATTTAGAGATCTGTAAAAAAAGCTCTTCTGATGTCTGAAATCACACCAATTTCATGTAAGCGAAATCTTGCTAGAATAGACGGAATAGTTTCAATCAAATTAATTCCAGTCTCTAAGCAATCATTTAGAGATGGCTGATTAGAAAGCTTTGCCGAAGCATCAAAAACGGGTCTAATTTTCATGGAAGATAGTGAGGACGTTTCCTTAATGACTGGACGATGTGGGAGGTAATGAACAACGGGTAAAGACAACTCCTTTTGGGGAACTTCTTCAATCACTCCTTCCTGCAGCCATTCATTAAAGACTTCATGATACCTTTCACGATATCCGATTTTTTCCAACTTCTTCGTAGTAGATTCGAGTCTTTTCAAAGATAGGTCATAATTGTCAGGTAAGACTGCATGCTCAATCTTCCAAGGCATATCAACCTCGTATCTACCATTTTCTAATTGACGAACTGTTTCTTGGAAATGAACCATAATAGCTCTTCTTGACTCTTCTTTAGTTTTTTGTTCAACAGGATCTCGGATACCCAATAATTCTAAGTCCCACAACGATGAAATAGGCAGGTCTTCTTGAGATAACATAGAAACTATAGTCATATTTACATTGTGCTGATGTTCGGATTGAGGTACTTTACCCATCAAAGTCCAACCCAATTTTGTTTCTATAGCCACTAAACCTGTTCTTAGTTCTTCTCGTTTGCCAGTAAATAACTTCCCTGCAACGTCTGCCCCTAACAGTACTTCAATAGGGCCTGGATTCCCTTGGGTATCAGTTAAGCGTATTCCCTTATTTCCTAATTCGCGAATCCAAGAACCGTATCTTATGCTTGAAATATCATTACAAATAACATCATGGTCTACAGCATCTAATTTACACGAATATTTACCATCAAGGCTACTCAAATAAATCTTGTAACATTGATGTTTATAAATTTCAGTTTTCTTTCCACCAAATAAAGAGTGACTAAATTCTTCCTCCCATTGCAAGTCAAAACCCATTTCTTCTGCAGTAGACTTTAAAACATAACTTTTTGAGCTACCCGTATCAATCATTAATCTAACTTTACGCCTTTTATTCTTACCCTCTATGTTCACAACTAGGGTCTGAAGGAAAACTTCATTCGTAGCACACGCGAATGCAAAGAATCGATTGTTTTCTCTTTTTTCTCATCATTTTCCTGGTTATGCATTTCACTAGACTTATTACATTCAAGACTAGGACAAAAAAATTTCAAATGCCTTTTTGAACAAATCTGACACTTAACACTTGATCGACACTGGTTACTGAGGTGACCTTTAACCAAGCATATTCTGCATAAACCTTTCTTTTTACCGCAGACATTTTTTCATCTAACGGAATATAAAACGCCTTTTTACAATTACGCGTTCTTCATGATTCATCAAATCCGACGCGGAAGGAATATTTTGGCTAGTTGCCAAGTGCTTACGATCAGACTTAGAAAAAATATCCGCTCTGCTTAATTTTATTTTTTCTTCTGACTGAACTTCGCTTTTCAGAAATTCAATTATTGCATCAAGACTCGAAATGTTTCGTTCAGATTCAGTAATTTTTCGTTGTCTTTCAAACGATCGCAATACGTGAATAGGAATAGCACTTTCCACAAGAGGATATAAAATTGTTCCACACTGATCAGTCGTTACACCAAGACTGCTCAGGGCTCTAAGTTGTGTTGAAAGTTTGTTATACAAACTACTCAAAGAATCCTGCTTCCTTTTCGCTGCGTTATCCAAAACAAGTTTTATTAACTCTCGAACATAAAAATCAATTAAAAGTTCTTTACGCCCATATCTCTCAGTAAGGCTTTCTATAGCCAAAGGATAATTTTCGTTCGTCACCGGAAAAGATTCTACAATATATCTCTAGCTTCTGATTTAATTTTTGTTGACTGTATCAAATAATGGAATGGAATTTGTCTGCATTCGTTAAGTTATTATTTTCATGTATGTTTTTAAACTGATTCCAAAACGTAAGCCAATTTTTTAAATCACCTGCGAACTTATAAAGTTCTACTTTCGGTAGGCGTTGGCACAAAGTTTTACATGTATTTTCATCAGTAACTAATTTCTGACTACTCTCTGACGATGTATTTTGGATTTCGTTTAATTTACTCTTAATATTATCGAGAAATCGTTCCGATTTTAACTGTATCCTAACAGCCTTCTCTCGATAGTCCTCTGTTATTTCAAATTCTGTTTCGAATTCTTTATCATCAGTTATAGTATCTAAATAAGCACTGTGCGTCAATTCTAATGTTTCTGCCTTTTTCTTGAACAAATAAAAACACATTTCTGCTTCTTCATAATCAACATTATCATCATTTAAAAGTTCATCTAGTCTTTTATATGCTTTAGTAAAAGCTGAACGTTGCGCAGTTTTGTTTCTTTTCATCACTTCCATTTTGTCATAAAAGTTTAAAATATTCAGATAAAAATTAGGCAAGAAAAGTATTTTAAACTTCAGTAAAACAATAATCAATAACTTCAAAACGGAAGTATAAGGTAATCAACTTACCCTATCTATTCTTTCATCCGACATGTTTCCAACAAACACGCCCACCCGGGGGCGCCAGAAATGTCGTGAACATTGTGAGTTTAAGAGAAAATAATGAGCGGTTTGTTAAAACTTAGATCAGATTAAAGATCTTTTAATATATAGCATTTTAATACTATTTAGCACAGTGTAATAAGTTCATTTTACAGTACGCAACATCCTCAAAAATGATCGTTACAACGCAGTTCGATCATCCATCTTTAGAATAACAATCTCTCTCGTTGCCATTCCGTAACAGTGAAACTCACCTCTCATGGAGTTCGATAGTGGCGCGATACGAGGCGTTCAATTTCGGCAAGCTACATAATAATTTTGAGTCATTACATACAGTAATATTTTTAATTTGTTAACTGCATACATATATAGTAGCTCAGTAGTTATTTGTTATCATTTCTGAAGGAGGAAAATCGTCTGCATTTTTTCTGAAGAATTAAAAAAAACTGAGAATGAACCTGCCATGTATTGAATAAAAAACAAACTGCCTCTTTTTCAATAATATTTAAGCCTATATTTTATTACCATTTACATATGCAATACAGTACTAATAATATATGATTTAATAGTAAGCACTTCTAGATATCAAGTTCTGAAGTAAAGTAATATATGATTCTCTAAATTATATAAGGAAGTAAATCTTAAATTAGATTACAGAGCAAAGGATCTTCTCTTTGAGAAGAAAGAAAAAAATTGTTTCTATTTTATCTATTCCGATTGTACCTTTCAAAGGTAAGAGAGAACAGGTAATATTTCTCTTTAAAGTTCCTGTAACTCGTTAAAAATAACCTTACATATTGTAGTACGAATAATATGCAATGTTCATTTGTGTATGTGAAATATTCAAATAAAACATACATTTAACGCCATTAAAATATAAAGCGTACACCCAATTAAACTAAAATAAATGGTTTAAACACGAAAACCACGCTTGGGGGAAATATATTACCTTCAAATAGAATTTCTAGACACCTCCCAGACTGCAGATAATTTACAAGCATCTGAAGGGAAATCCACATCGACGCTATTGGATAGTTAAGCTTATTTACAAATAATTAATAAATGAAATTTTAAGCAATAGTTTCATCGCATTCATGTGGTTGGTGCTCTGTTATATGAAATGTATGTTTTGTTTAACTTTCAGTATAAAGCTGACTTGTTAATGACTAAAAGACTCTATGAATATAACACATATACGATTGGCATTATTTAAGGCTAGAATTAAATCGTAGATAATCTCACGAAAGTGTATAATTAATTATGCGTTGGAAATTTTAATATCTTACTCGTCAAAAACAGTAAAAATGTTGCTAGTATTAAATATTGTCCTATAAGATTTTAGGTCATTTGCAAGAGAAAACTGACAGATAAATCTGTTGTTTCGTATAGGATTATGACTTATGAACATGGCAATAAAATTGTCGAAAATTACGGTATAAATTTTCAAAATAAATACCCAATTGAAAGATATAGTTATCTATTTTGGTTTCAACTTGAATATTGTTGCATTAAAATAATACAATGTCTTTGTTATCTCAGTTATGCCTAAATTCTAAATTAATTATTTTTCACTTCTATATTAATTTAATTAATCTATTTTATTCTTGAATGAATTCGAGTTAAGCCGCAATATAAACCAGAAGATCGCTAAAATCTACTGAAAGAAATAATCTTAGCAAAGGATATTAATGAAAAAGTTGATATAATAATTTTAACGAAAATGCTGCATTTATGGTCATAAAATTGCAATAGCATAAATACTGCCTATCATCTGTCTAGTGAAAATACACATATTTGTTTGGATATTTAGTTTACTTTTACGTACAATACACGAAAATAAGTTAGAAAAATGTATTTATAAAGCTAATATATTGTAATGAAGAGCATGTTAAATAGATGAATGTTGGTTCAAAGTGCTTCAAATGCTCATAACAGTAGATGATAATATTTTTTGTATTCTTTCATGAAAAAATATTGTAAAAAATAAATTTATTATTATATAATTATATTAATATTAAATACTGTTGCCTGACGTTCACAATAAATTTTTTATTTTATGCAGTTTCTAATTTTATTGCAAATCTTTTAACAAAATTTGTTAGGCTTCTTCCTCAATTATGTAAATCAAGTTTAAATAATAAGAACGCGTAATTAATATTGAAATGTTTAGTGTGTTTGTCGAAAATTGTGTGACAAAAATCTGTAGTGGCGTTATCAGGACTAGTATTCTTTCGAGTTGCCTTGGGAAACACCTAATTTCCTGAATGGGAACAGGGAGCTTACTCGTTCGTGTATGTGTGCAACAGACAACACAAGTAAGAAGAATTAACTTTACTCTTTATTCTCCACGATACCGGTGTTCCCGCACTTCGGGATACAAAGACCAACCAGTTGTGGTCTGAACATAAGAAAATAGTAATTACTAATTAACTAAATTTAAATAAAAAATAACTTCGAAAACTTTACACAAGTGAATAACCCTAAGATTTGCTTTTCAGATTAGTACGCATGTAGAACGCAAACTGCGGAAAACTACAATACGTCTTAAATATCAAGATAGTAGATATCCTCTTAGATATACCTCTGGCCTTAAATGCGGAAAGCAACTGACTGACTGAAGGTACGCGTAAAATAACGTGGAAAGAAGGCTCCCTCTCCCTCCTTCTAACTCTCTTCTTGGCGAAAAGCCACAACTTAAATACTTAAGAGTTACATACACGATTTGCATAAACAGATTAACGCCTTTATTCTGGCCTGAAGTGGAAAATAAGAGAGGGCAGCAAAGGTTTAAAATAAAATAAACCTTAGTAAAACTTAAGATCCCTATATACTTCTCGCCAGAATTAAAAAGTTTGAAAATAAAATCTAAATGACCTTGTTGAAAACATTTAACTCTGACCTTTAACGCGAAGCCAATCTTTTACAAAAACTCCTCATTAAAACTATCTAACCTAAAAATTATATAAAAAGCAGTTTTTACAACATATTCTTCAGGGACAAGTATTCTTCATCTGTTACTGCACCTAGAAACAAGAATTTTCTTTTCATCTTATCTGATAACTTCCAGAGATCT